ATGAGAGCATCTTGTTGCCATTTTTGGCAGGGAAAGAGAAGAAAGCACCACCATTTAGGCTTTTCCTTTTTCCTCTTGAATCCTTTTCTAGTAGAGATTATTGTTTTGTTAGAATGAGGCATTTTGGAATGGAGAAAAGCATCAACCATGTTTAACCGTAGGAAGTGAGCCATGAACCTCTCCACTCACAAGTTGAAAGTTAAATGCCCTCTAATTGAAAGGAATTTTTTTTTAGGTGTTTCATTAGATTAAACCATTCTAGACACCCCTCATCACTCATCGCTAGGACTATCTTAAGCAATCAAAACTGTTACAATATTTTAAGTATATAATAATACAACAAGATGATCATATTCATGTAGTAACAAGAAACATAGGTTTGGTGTGTTCTAAAATAAGGAAGAAAACAACAATATAATGAAACCTTTAAGGAAAAACATATAAGCAGCACAAAATCATTTGCACATGGTTGTTACCTTGTTTGCAAAAATGTATGAAGAGTGAGTCACACGTGTGCGTACAATTATTTCTGAGTTTCTGTACATTCATGTGCTTTATGAGTGGATGGCGGGGTCAGCCAAGAAGAATGAGATTCACAAACGCAACATTTCTTTAGGCTTGGTGGAGAGGCCATAAAGCAAAAAAGTTAGAAGGTTCGATAAGAATAGTTTTGTTAAACAAAAAGACACAAGGCATCAACTTCCAAAGCATGCTTGGCTGTGAGAGGAAGCTAAATTGAGGACAGGTATGTTCTCCTTAAGTACGATAGGAACCAAAGGATTTCAGATGAGACATTCGGATACCCAGCAACAGATTTAATAATCACTGCATATTCTATTGATTTATGGACAATAACTCATCACAAAGGTCAGAAGTATATATATTCTAAATATCTACTCTTGTCTCGACTCATCAACAGTCCCAAAAGCCTGGAATACACGACTTTCACTCAATCAAAAGTATTTCATGTTTGTTAGAAAAACATACCAAGGATCGTTAAATATGAATTTAACTCCAATGCCTCGAGGGTGTGCCCAATTCATGATAAATTTGCAACTGTACATTACCAGACAAACCAAAATGATGCACTATAAAGGCAATAATTGTCAAGTCGACCAACACAAAAATATTACACATGACATTATCTGTTAACATAATGAGTGTACCCCACGAGGGTCTAAAATCGTAGATAGTAAGACAAATATGATATAGCTTTATATTTCTAGTTCCAATGGTTGATTGATCAATTTGTCATTGTTGATATCATTGGGAACATTGCCAATCTTGGGCACTTCGGAATTTGTATGTGCCAAGTGTGTACTCACCTCTTATCTTGGAGTAGAAAAAATTAGTGGCACACCCACGTCGAGGGTTTAAAATGGGTTTTAAATAATTTCTCAATATCTTTTTGTCCCAGTTGCAAAGTCTCAAAAATATGATGTTCACAGTGATTTTTTTTATTTTTATGGAACAGTTTGTGTCACTTGTCAGGGATTATCCTGTCTTCTGCTGTAAAAGGTCAAAGCCTTTAATGCTATTGTCGAAGATTTGGTCTCTATTACCACGAAAATCATGCATCAAATGTTAACTGCTATTTGGATTAGGGTTCCTTCAATTCCAATGGCATGCGATTCTTTTTCAAGTTTAATCTCCAATATTTGAGTACTTGAAGATGTTCATATTATTAGCAAATAAGCATCATGAGCATTGAAGGTGACATTTTTTTTTTCTTTTGATTATTGATGCATCTATAGAAACTTGTATCGGTGTGTTCGACGACACGTTTCAAATATGACATTTGTCAAATATACTTTAACATGTGTCTAACACTTTTTCACCGTATTAGAATTAAAAAAAATATTTTTTTAGTTTAAACACTTTTTTGACATAGGTTTAACATCTTTAAGTGTACACTTGTTTTTAACTAAACATTTATTTAACATTGTCATTGTAAAAAAAATCTACTTCTTTATAAATATTATAAGGCTAATAGCATTTTTTTATCTATCTTAAAACTCATTTTTATAAGAAATATTTGTTTTAACTTTTAAGAATATAATTCATATTTTAAGAGTCATTATAATATATATATATATATAAAGAATTTATCTAATAATAACTTATGTTTTATATCAAATTTTAATAATTTAATTATTAAATTATAAATTTTTAATACATTGATTAAGTCTATAAATTTTTTAAGAAAGTAAAATTATTTAATATTTTATTTTATTAATTTAAATTTATGATATATATATATATATATATATATATATATCCCTACATTTTGGCTCCATGTTCTACATTTTGACCATTAGTTTTGTCCTCGTGTATGGTGTCAATTTCGGAGTCCGTGCTTAAAGTTGGTGACATCTTTTACAATTCTATGAACGAAGTAAGAACAAGTCAATAAGCTGATAAAAAAAATACCAAACCACTAAAACTTTTGACTGTGCAGCCCATATCTTTGGGCTAGCTTAATTAGATATTATAGCCCAACGTTCTCTGGAAGACTTTAGGGCCCAGTCCAGCTTTAAATCAAATTTAATTTTTTTTAAGTCCTTCAAGGAAAACTGAAATTACAAAGCCTAAAACAAAAAGGTATTTAACTATTTAGAGAGAGCTTTTTTATCCATAACAAAAGCTATTTCTATTACTTTTATTCATTACAAAATCCAAAATAAAAAGGGATTTAATTATTTATAGTGTAATAATTCGTCAAGATTGCTACATTCAACAAATTAATTACTAATAACATAAATAATTAATTGTCTATGATTAATATAATTATAATACCTGGATATATCTGTCATGATATTTATAAATGTACACCAACTAACAAAATAATAAATATACAAGTATATATATATACACACATACACATATATATGTATAATAATCTAGCATTACAAAATAATAAAATTTTAAGTTGTCAATCAAGCAACTCAAAAACCTATAAAAAAGTACCTTCCAGCTACACCATCATTTAACAACATGACTCTCCACACTTGACTTCTCAAACTTATCATTGCTCTACTCTTATGAAAACATGATCATCGTAGCCCCATTACTAAGAAAACATGATCATCGTAGCCCCATTACTAAGAAAACATGATCATCGTAGCCCCATTACTAAGAAAACATGATCATCGTAGCCCCATTACTAAGAAAACATGTAAGGATAATCTAGTGTATTAAAGAATACAACATAAAATAAGTATAGAAATAACACAACTATACTACCCACATTAGCATACTAAATAACTCAACATGACATTCAACAACCTTACAAAAGTAAGCAATTCAATAACATATGAAAGTTCATAATTCATCACACCAATGTCATTCAACAACATCATCAACCAAGCATATGAACGCACCAAACACACCATGTCATATGTATAATGCCTCAACTAATGCATTGTCATACATTCACTTATGAAGATCTCCTACAATTAAGGCGAATAGTCTAAGTGGTTTGACTCTACCAAATTAATTGATCCTTTTACACCTCTTACATCAACAACCAATTGGGATACCAATTCCTGCAACATGATTTTTTGAATGTTTTTGCTTAAACTAGGAAAGTTCAGTACCACTGCCAGGTATATCATAGCTTAGGTATAGGCGTACCACGACATTGATATACATTAACCAAGTCACCTATAGATTAGCCCACTAACTATCTTCGCGATATCACACACCTTTCTAGTAATCAATTAAGGGTTGTAGCCATCAATTTCATATCTTACTCAAACATTAACTAAGAATCTATAAGAGACTCAATACTTTACTTCAAGAGACAACGTCTACTCAATAAGGGTTTTCAAACAATTAGACTCATAGAGCACTACACCAATATCCATACTATGAGATATCCAACTTTCAAAAACATACTCTCCTTAGTCCTAATTTAATCAACATGCCTAAATGTCTATAACATTCCCAGTATCAACACTTCAACAAGTCAACAATCATAAACATTTATGCATATTATCACAAATCAATATACATAGAACCAACCAAACCCATCAACATACAACATACATTAGATTCATCTAACCTATTCATGCCCACCATATAATCATTCAAATAAAAAATTTTCACAAAGCTAACCATGCCCAATGCTACACATCTTGTGCTTGACGCCATTGAGATGGGGAACATTCTACCTCGTCCACGCTCGACACCATTCAACCCATGCTTGGCGTGGATGAGGTAGAGAACCCTTAGGCTCTCACACCTAGCATGGGAAAACCCATGTCTGACCCTATTTCAGACAAAGACATGTCTCTCACTTCACGTCCATCACCACTTCATTGATGTCCAGTGTCAATTTAAGTAGAGTCAATTCTCTCACCCCATGTTGGGTGCCACCAATCTTGCATCCTGCATGAATAAGATAGAGGATCCTTGATGCGAGTC